TGCAGGGCTGGCGCTCTGACTGTTCTGTAGTAGAAGGAGGTTCTTCCACGGACACTACGGGGAAATGTGTACGGAAGCATGTAACTTGTGCTGTAACGTGTATCTCCAGGTGCACAAAGAAGTTATTCCTGCGCACACCGTCTACGCTCTAAACATTGAGAGAATTGTCATGAAACTTTGGCATCCAAACCATGAGGAACTACAGCAGGATAAAATCCATCGCCAGCGCCTGGCGGCAAAGGAGGGCCTTCTACTCTGCTAGAGCTGGGCAGCCATGTCAGCCCTCAGATGGCTACAGTGCTGTTCCTTCAACTTGTGACATTCAGATGCTTCTTACAAACCTGTGTCAGCATTTCAAGGATGACGTAAGTTATGAGTCAACTTTTCCTATGGAAATATGACTGAGCTGCGGTACACTTTCTCTGCTTCCCCAGAGTCACGTGCCATGGAGCACTTACGGCAATCCCACTGAATTGGAAAGGAGAAACGAGATTTGTTTGCAAAGACTGTTTCTTAGGAAAAATAAATGTGAGGCTGGAGAGAGTTGGTTATAAATAAGGTGTATTTGTTGGGTCTTTTTTGTGAGCACGGGGAATCTGCCTCCTTGTCCTCCACTCCTAGGGAGTTTCCCTTCTGAGGTCAGTCTCCAGAGGCCTTGTCTGGCTTCTGTTGCAGTTGGTGGGATCCTTTTCCATTTGTTTAACTGGAAACAGGCTAAGCTCTTGTGAAGTGAAGATGAGCAATTCTGTAAGCTGACATTGTTCCTCTTCTACCAGGTGAACTTCTGATGAAAAACTCTGAGAAAACCAAGAGAAGCCAAAAAGGGAAAGGTCCTTTCTAGCCTGTCTTTTGAACTGTTTTGCATCACAAAACATGACGGTGCGTGCTGTCGTAGGAATCTCTCACCAGTTACTAAAATACACAATAAAATCAGGGTTATGAGTAATGTTTTCCTATCAGCCTAGTCCTTGACTCAACCCTGTCTTGTAGCAGTTGTGAGCAGATGTTCTAGGAGTTGTTGGACCTATGACGAGAAGACAACCTCTGTGCCTGTCAGTACAGGTAACGATTTAGCCCTCCCAGCAGGCAGCTTGACCATCCCTGTGGTGGGATAGCAACTGCCAAGTATATACACCAACTCACTGTCTTAGTGTTGCAGACTCCTTGGATTTGCAGCATCAACAAGATGTCTTGTATTATTCATCATAAAAAAAAAAACAAACCAAAAAACCACACAGCCACACCTCTCCACATGGAGAGCCGTGCAGATCATCACTGTGTAAAAGGGAAAATTCCACCTGCTGTGTTTCTGCTGTCTTCCCGAGTCAGCTGTGCGCTCCTCAGACGCTGAAGGGAACAGACTTACTATAACGTGAGAATTCTATTAAAATGTCTTAATTACTGTACCTGTTTTTAACCACACCTATGGAGGTACCTGCTGAAAGTTGACTTGGCTTATTGTGCCTCCAGATAGTGGAATTAAAACGGCTTCCTCTGGGGGAGTATGAAACAAGAAGCCCATGCTTCCCCTCCATTCTAGTTTTCCTCTGTTTGGGAAGTATTTGGATAGGAGAGCTGTCATCTTTCCCCTTATCCATGCAGTTTCCTTCTCTGCTGTGCCCCCCAGACTGAAAAGGGTGTGGGTCCCAGATGTTTCCTCCCAGTTACCTTTTCCTGTAACTTCCTTTCTTGACCCCCATGACTGTTCATACTGGACCAAGGGGCTGTGTTGGACCAAGGGGCAGTGCTGCTGTCTCCCTGGCTTTCCTGCATCCCCGTGTGGGATGTACTGTGGAGTTAGGCATAGCAAGAGGCAGTGCCCATGCAGATATCAATGGCCTCCATTGTGAGAAGACCATTGGCACAGGGAGGACAAGGAGGAGATTCGAGACAGCCAGCATGGCTTCACCAGGGGCAAGTCCTGCCTGACTAACCACATGGCCTTCTGTGATGGAGGGACTGCATCGGTGGACAAGGGAAGAGCTATGGAAGGCCACTGGCTCGGCTGCTGTAAGGCCATTGACACGGTCCCCCACAACATCCTTATCTCTGAATTGGAGAGATATGGATTTGATGGTTGGACTGTTTGGTGGATGAGGAATTGATTGGATGGTTGCATCCAGAGGGTAGTGGTCAATGGCTCGATGTCCACATGGAGACTGGTGACAAGTGGTGTCCCTCAGCAGTCCATACTGGGACCGGTGCTGTTTACTATATTCATCAATGACATAGACAGTGAGATTGAGAGTACCTTCAGCAAGTTTGCAGATGACACCAAACTGAGTGGTGCAGTTGACATGCCTGAGGTTCCAGATGCCATCCAGAGGGACCTGGGCAAGCTGGAGAAGTGTGTCCATGTGAACCTCATGAGGCTCAACAAGGCCAAGTGCAAGGTCCTGCACCAGCATCAGGGCAACCCCTGGTATCAATACAGGCTGGGGGATGAAGGGATTGAGAAGAGTCCTGCAGAGAAGGACTTGGTATTGGTGGATGAAAAGCTGGGCATGAGCTGGCAATGCGCCCTTGCAGCCCAGAAAGCCAAGCGTACCCTGGGCTGCATCAAAAGCAGTGTGGCCAGCAGGTCGAGGGAGGTGGTTCTGCCCCTCCACTCCACTCTGGTGAGACCCTGCCTGGAGCACTGTGTCCAGCTCTGGGGTCCTCAGCCCAGGAAAGGCATGGACCTGTTTGGCGTGGGTCCAGAGGAGGGCCACAAAACTGGTCAGAGCGCTGGAGCACCTCTCCTGTGAGGACAGGCTGAGAGAGCTGGGGTTGTTCAGCCTGGAGAAGAGAAGGCTGTGGGGAGACCTGATTGTGGCCTTTCAGTACTTAAAGGGGGCTTATGAGAAAGATGGGGTCAGGCTTTTTAGCAGGGCCTGTTGTGATAGGACAAGGGGTAATGGTTTTAAACCAAAAGGTCGATTCAGTTTAGGTATAAGGAAGAAATTTTTTATGATGAGGCTGGTGAAACACTGGAAGGGGTTGCCCAGAGAGGTGGTAGATGCCCCATCCCTGGGAATATTCAAGGTCGGGTTGGATGGGGCTCTGAGCAGCCTGACCTAATTGAAGATGGCCCTGCTCATTGCAGGGGGGTTGGACTGGATAACCTTTAAGGGTCCCTTCCAACCTCAATTCTATGACTTTAGGATTTTGAAGAAGCTGGGAAAGGCAACAGCAGCAGGGCCTGGCAGGGTGAGAGCAGTTCTACTTGGTAAGTTGTGTCTCCTAAGGTATGGCAGCGTGTGGTTAAGAGGAGAGTGGGAGAGAGGTGATGGAAGATTTCTTTTGGTCCCTTTCGCTCAACTGCCGCTTTTTCTGTGTTTAAGCCTACATAGCTGTTCTGAGTGATTCTTAGCTTATAAGTTGACCCCAGTGGCTTTTACATGAGAGTTTTTAAAGGCAACATTGAACCTGAGTAACTGTATGTGGTGAGATCAAATCACCCAAAGTATGGATTCTGGGGTGTGGGAGGGGGATTTCCCAGATAATTGTTATGCTTATGGTGTAAAATGAAAGCATTAAGTTTGTTTGCTAGAAACTTTGGGGCAGCTCTGAGGATTTCAGATCTGAAGAAAGCACGCAGCCTCCGACAGCATCACAAGTGCGTTCTGAAACAAAATACTAAGTATGGCACAAGAGGTGCCTCTCGCTCCTGTTTGCATGTGCTAAGGGGAAGGCTCTGCAGACACAGCCTTGTGCTCTGAAGAGCTGAGTCATCTATTCCACACTGAAAAAAAAGTGGGTTATTCGGGACACCTGCTAGACAACAAAGGCTTGAATAAGGAAATCCTGTCAGCCCCACTGTGCAGATCGGAAAACTGAAAGGTGCGTGTTCTCAGTGTGCTTTTCCCACAAAGTCTGGTCTCATGAGAAGTGATGCTTCATAGACTTCTGGGGTCATTTAGCTGGAAGGGACGTCTGGAGGCTGCTTTGTCCACCCCTTGCTGGAAGAAGGGCTAAGTTGAAAGAGCAGGTTGTCTATCACTGGAGATGGGACCAGATAAGTGGTGGTGTTTCCTATTCCACTGTGTGACCGTGCTGATGGTGAAGGTTTTCCTTGCATCTCATCAGAATTTCTCATGTTGTGCCTGTTGCCTTTCAGCTTTTCCTGTGGGTCTCTCTGTGGTTTCCCACCAGAGAGTAGCAGATAACACTAAGATCTCCCTTTTGCCTTCTCTCCGGGCTGAACAAACCCAGCTCTCTGAGCTTCTCCTTATATGTTGTGTGCTCCAGCCCAAACCATCTTGATGGCCTCCACTGAAGTTGCTCTGGTACATCACTGTCCTTGTGCTGGGGAACCCAAACTGGACCCAGCTCTGCAGATGGTCTCACAAGTGCTGAGCAGAGACACGGGATCCTGCCCTGCTGGCTGCACTCCCGTTAGCAGCTGGCCTTCGTTGCACGGGTGCACTGCTGACTGCCAGGTTGCTTGTCCATCCACGCTTCCGGGTCCTTTCTTGCAAAGCTGCTTGCTTGCCTGTTGTCTCCAGCCTGTTCTGCTGCAGTGGGTGGCTCCATCCCAGCGGCAGGGCTGTGCGTTTGCCGTTGAACTTCTTGAGGTTCCTCTCAGCCCATTTCTCCAACCTCTCTAGGTCCCTCTGAACAGTAGCTCTGCCCTTCAAGCATATGAACCTCTACTCCCAATTTGGCCTTGTCTGCAGGCTTGCTGCCCGTATGCTCCATTTGCATCCTATCATCCAGGTCAGTAGCAAAGATAGCCTCAGCATAAGGAGCCCCAGTATTGACTCCTAAGTGTTGGGTCTCAGTATTGAGTGCCGCTTGTAACTAGCAGCTAGCTGAACTCTGAATCACTGACCACTGCTCTTGGAGACCTGCCCGGAGAGCAAGGTGATGGTACTGATAGGCATTGCTGTTAGGTTGGTGGCTTTCACTGTGACATGACACATGTCTGTCTGCGCTACAGTAATCAGCCCTCTAAAGTGAATAAGACTGCTGAATTTCAAAGCAGCAGCTCAAAGTAGCACTGAAATTAGTTTGGAAAGGTCTATTTTCTGCCCAAAGATCCACCAAGAACCTGCCAGGTCTACATCAAGCTGAGCTTGACCAAAACTGTTCCTGACAGATGTCAGCTGAAAAGCCTACAATGGAAGCTTTCAGAGTTATCTTAGGCAACTTGTGCTGTAGAGGTCTTCACCCTGAAAGGTTTCTCCATAGTCCTGTGCCTTGCTGCAGCTTAGGCCTAGAACTTGTTATATTCACCGCAGCGTATTGTATGGGAAGACAGAAGGGAAGGACTGAGACATCAACTGTCACATCCCCCATAGCGAGAATCGCATCCTATGGTCTTAATCCAGTAGGAACTGTGCAATGTACTGAAAGTTGCTACTTGGGAGCTTCTAGTGCTTCTAGCTTCCACTTCTAGATTTGCAGTGGAAAACCATTACCCACCACATGAAGAGGGGAAAAAAAAACACTTGAGAGCTTTACCAGGTCACTTCATGGCCTGAGTTTGGGTGAAGATGGCAGTCTGATGTCAGGATGTGGTCAATACCCCTGGGAGTGTGGTATGCAAGAAAGGAAAAATCTTCTATTTTTATTTTTCAGACAGTTCCAGCTGCCAGACCTGGCTTAAGTCTGACCAAGCCTTTCCAGCTGGGTGCCAAGGAGGATCCTAGATGTGTGAATGGCTATTTGGGGGTGTTGAGGAGAGCTACAAACTCTTGTTCCCAGGACTGGTGACCAGGAAAGACGTTTCTCATTGGTGGTTCACAGCAGAAATCTGGAGCTATAGCACTTAGAATCATTGAGATTGGAAAAGACCTTTAAGATCAATTCCAACCATCAACCTAACACCACTATGCCTACTAAACCATGCCCTGAAGTGCCACATCTACATGTTTTTTTGAACACCTCCAGGGATGGGGACTCTACCACCTCCCTGGGCAGCCTGGTCAAGTGCTTGACCACTCTTTCAGTAAAGAGATTTCTTTCCTAATATCCAACCTAAACCTTCTCTGACACGACTTGAGGCCATTTCCTCTTGTCCTTGTTACTTGGCAGAAGAGACCAACACCCACCTCACTACAGCCTCCTGTCAGGCAGTTGTAGAGGGCGACAAGGTCTCCCCTCAGCCTCTTCTTCTCCAGGCTTTACCACCCCAGGTCCCTCAGCCGCTCCTCATCAGACTTGTGCTCCAGACCCCTCACCAGCTTCGTTGCTCTCCTCTGGACACACTCCAACAGTACAACATCTTTCTTGTA